CCTGTACTCTGCCCGCTTCCTGTTCCAATCATCACACCTGTACTCTGCCCGCTTCCTGTTCACGGTCATCACACCTGTACTCTGCCCGCTTCCTGTTCCAATCATCACACCTGTACTCTGCCCGCTTCCTGTTCACGGTCATCACACCTGTACTCTGTCATTATGACTCTCATCCTTCAGGAAACTTAAGTCAAAGTAAACTCCTTCTATAAGTTGCCTATGTCATCATGTTCTACCAGAACAATGGAAAAGTAACAAATAGAGTACCTAATTTAATTTTGTTATAGTAAATTTCCACAGCCAACGAGAATACAAGGCACTCATTAGAACTTCTCGGTAAATTTAGTCAGATGTGGCAGTCTGTGTCTATGATAATCCCAGCACGCAGGAGACCAGCTAGAGACGCCAGTTCTGCACGGCGAAGACACAAACAGCTTAGCAAAACCAAAGTTTACAGAAACACGGGCTTTAAAGTACACTGTTCTCTCTCTAATACGCCCGAAATTCCATGATGGTGGAGTCTCTTTCAAGTATTTCTTTAAGTCTCTGGAGGCCCTTTCCGTCCTCCACACCCGTCCACGCTTTTACAGTGCTCACGGACGCCCAACTTCTGACCGATTCACATTTTAGTTTTCTTCTTTCTTGAACAATTTGCTCCTTCTGGTTCCTCCTCTATCGCTGGCTGCCTGACTGCGCTGAGTGCCCCTCTGGTGACCCCAGATACTCCTTTACACTAACTGTGGATGGGAGGTTGCTATGTCCCTTTCCTCAGGACACTTCCAAATGTCAGGCTCCTCAAACGTGCACACTTTCAGCAGAGAAAGCTGGGTAGGGTGAGAAGGGGCCTGCCACCATCTACGCTCTGGCTAGATTACGCTAAGGGCCCTGCACAGAGTACATAGCCACAAGTGGCCACTTGACTCTCAGACCCGCTTCATTCCTCTATCCATGCGGTTTCTCCCATCCCAGTTCCCCTCTCCCAGGAAGAGGAGACCAAAGTGGCCACCTGTCTGTGGCAGGATGGAGACCTGGACAGGACACTGAAAGAATTCCCAATTTGAGCCATTGTCTGCAGGGACACTGTAGTCTCCAAGCGAGATGGCTGTAGCTCCTCTCTACTCTAAGAACCAATCCTGATCTTTCTTGGGCACTCAGGCCTGGACTCCACATCCTTCGGTCTGTGGGAGTCGCTGAACTCTTGAGTTCTGTTGCTACAGGTCTTCTGTACGAGTGACACGCTTCTGATGCGGCAGGAAGACAGAACACACCTGTGGCAAAGCGGCTACATTACGCGGAGGTCTGACAGTCCAGCTGAGAAGTGGACATGACAATTCTCTGAGGCTGCAGCTGCCACTCGCGTCCTCCCCTTCTGCTCACTCAGCACATCTGCAAGTGCCATCGTTTCCCAAAAGCATGCTCCTTCACTTAACTCCCAAACAATGCTTTTGTGACTGACAGCGTGTGCTTTCTTACCCAAAACGGCCCAGCTCTGAATTTTTTTTGTTTTTCAAGTCATGTTTTCTCTGTGTAGCCCTGGCTAACCTGGAAATAGTTTTGTAGACCAGGCTGGCCTCGAACTCAGAGATCCACCTGCCTCTGACTCCTGAGCACTGGGACTAAAGGTGTGCACCACCATGCCCGACTGAGTTCTGGATTGTTTTGTTTTGTGTTTTGTTTTTTGAGACAGGGTTTCTCTGTGGCTTTGGAGCTTGTCCTGGAACTCACTTTGTAGACCAGGCTGGCCTCGAACTCGCAGAAATCACCCTGGCTCTGGCTCCCGAGTGCTGGGATTAAAGGTATATGCCATTACCATCCAGTAAGCTCTGGATTTTTAAAGCAACTATTTAACACACACTAGAGAATCTGATGTTCACGCTGTCTGGCTCACCTCCACCCTCCATTCCTTGCTCCCAAATAAAGACAAGTGATTAAATTCTTTGTGCCCAGCCACTCCAGACTCCCTCACTTCCTTGCTGGGTCATTCATTTTGCAAATAAGTATCTCAGGTCCAATGTGTTTCATCTACCGTTACAGCACCTAGAACTATGAAACACTGGGATGGAAGTAACTCCCGCGTCACCTTTGACTCAGGATACGTCGGTGGCTGGCTTTTACTTGGTGCAGTTTGGCTTAGGTAGTTTCCTTGATTCCTATTTTACTTAATGTTTTTATTAAGGAACAGATGCCAGTTATTTAGAAGCTTTTTTCAGAGCTGCCTGTGAAATAATCGTGTACTTTCCCTTTTATTAGCATTCGGGTTTTTCTTCTTTTCATGTTGGTAACTGATCTGAGCCGCACACGCTAAGCCAGCAAGTACCCTACACTGAACTACACGTTAGCCCTTACACTGGTTTAGAGTGACTGGTCAGTTAACACTAAGCTACCCTAGACTTTTCTGGAATAAACACGATTCAGACTAACATGCTGTTCTTTTGCAGCTAGGTTTGCTGTACAATAAAGTGACGGATCTGGAGAAAAAGGATCTATTTACCTCCTTATAAATTACAAAACTTGTAGGCAGTACAAGATGCATAAAAGTGATTGGAACTATAAAATTGGAATGTAACCAGGAAAAATCATTTTTGAGATGAATTTGAATGAACCTTCAAGAAACCAACATTTGTTATAAAAACCATTCCAGAGAGAACTGAGGTGCCATCAATTTAAGTTATAGTCAGGGCACTCTTAATATTAAGCATTAAAAGGAAACTATTTTTTTTAATAAGCACACATTTATTCTACAATAAGCTTCTTCACATTTTCATGCACACCATCCTTATAAATATGTTATGCCTTACTTTAAGTATTTCACAGTTCCCTGAGAGGGTCAAAATTAGTCAAGAGTACAGTAACTCTCATGGCCAAAGTATACTATCCGTTCCTGTTAGAGAACCGAAGAATAATTGCTGCTTACCACAGAAATGAATTCCCATCCTCTGTGGCTCTCTCCAGCAATAAACAGCTTGTGGGAGGGGGGAAGTAGAGCTACAGCTGTGCTTACTTCCCCTGCACTGAACATCTGCCACGGGACAAGCAAACAACCGCAGACTCCACTCTGGGGTTCCAGTTTCTATCTCTTCCACTCCCTAACTACACCTCAGAGTGCTTCAGGTCACTGGTCTGAAGCTTCTATTAGTATATAAGCTATCTAATAAAAATTAAGCCACTTTGAGG